AGGTTGTACCAGTCTCTTTTGTACACATAATTCTGGTTTTTCAAAATGTATGGCTATTGCCTCGGAAATGCAAAGGAGATGTAGTCTAATTGTTTTAGGAAGGCTTCTACTTACCTTGTAGATGACTTTGAACGCAGAGTCTGTCTTGATTGAGTGACCTGTGTTCACAAGGTGTTCGATAATGGGACTTCTTATTGAGCCGCTGCCTCCTCTTCTTAGCCACGCCGGACAATGTTCTTGAATTCTTTTGGATAAAGTACGCATCGAACGACCTATATACCTAGCTCCACAAGAGCAGGTAAATTGGTAAATGCACATTGAATTGGTCAGATGCGATAATTTATCTCTCAGATTATTGGTGAACAGTGATCGGCTGGAGAATAATATTCGCAATGTTGCTGCGAAGAATGTTCTTTTTAAAGAATCTGAAATTCTCCTCTTTAAGATATATGCGGCTCTATCACCTTTGAAGTCGATGTTCATGTATAAAATTTTCTTTTCTATTGCAATTGTTTGTGGTCTTGGCATTTTCGGTTTCATGTTTTTATCAATGAATATAGAAGGATATCCGTTTTTGATAAGTATCTCTTTTAAAAAACTCAATTCTTCCTCTACGACCTCAGGGCTACAGATTCTTCGTATTCTTGTGGCGAGAGTTATTATTAAGTTTCTTTTTCGGCTGATGGGAACCCAACTGTGGAAATTTGATAGTTGGCCATCCCACATGGGTTTCCTGTAGATAGATCTTTTTAAAGTACCATCTTGTTTCCTTGTTATATCTACATCAAGGAAGTGAATATTTTGTTTGCTTTCAACTTCCATTGTGAATTTTATTGATGGGTGACAATTATTAAATGTATTTAGGAGATCACTTAAGTTACATTTGTTATCACAAATGATAAAGATATCATCCATATACCTTTTATATAAGTGGAGGTTTTCTATAATTCTTTTAAGTTGGTTGTTTTCTAAACTGGCCATGAAGCAATCTGCCAGTAATGGACCAAGTGGGGATCCCATTGCTATACCATCCTTCTGTCTATGAATTACGTCGTTGAATGTGAACTGTACATTGCAAGTACAACGTAGTAATAATTCCTTCAAATAAACCTCATGTATCCCAATGTTTATCTCAGTATTGTTTATGTACTTGCAGAGAGAGATTTTGACATTTGTTATTTCAGGTTATAAAGAATGATATTAGGTACTTTGTTAAATTGGTTATCCAACGTTTAATGAGTTGATTGTTAAGGTTAAATTTATAAACTACACAATCAGTGGTTTTTAGTTTATCAAACTGTTAAGATGTGATAAATTAATCGAACTTCTTCTTCCTCTGGAATACAATTTAAAATACATTCAACGCCTTTTTTTCTGTGAAATTAAATTACGTCATAATGTACGCTAAAACGATTGTATTTAACTTGAAATCTAGACGTTTGGAGAACATACAGTAAAATTAGCTAACTGTGCAGTATAAGCTGTCAATCCCTGATGTCAATTCAATATTTCTAACTACAGGACACTAGTAGATATAGTCAAAATAGGATGATTATTTCAAGATCTAGACTTCTGTTTTTTTTAACAGTAACATATTAGATCTATGTCGATGAAATAAGTTTACATTTGACTCATCAATTGTGTAGTGTGGCTAATTATTTATTTTAACACATAGATATTGGTACAAGAAGGCACCAAATAGATATGCGCCACATAAATCATTCGATTTGTGTGAGGGCTGTGATACTGCCCGGGTGCCCAAACCGAAGCAGGTGATTTTCCCAGGAGGTCACACCCCGAGCCTTTGACTTAAAGGTCTGGTCCACAAGGCAGTAGAGCATTGTGAGGAGATGCTGTCCCATGGTAGCCGGTGACCAAGGATGGGTTCATACGCCATTTGTTCCTTCAGGATATTGGAGCCCATGTGCACCATTGATTTGGAATCCGGTTAAAGCGCCGGACATTCGCTTTCCTGCCTCTCAACTTCGTAAACAACACCCCCGCCACGAGAAGGCAATGATTAGGGCTTCCCTAGCAGAGGCTATATACGCGTGGCCATGTGAGATCATTTCGAGAGGGAGGGCGGGCCCACCCCACTCTCGGCCATACCAGGGCATTGGGAGGCAGTGTGGCTAATACCAAAGATTTTATTATATAGATCTAAATAGTATTTAAAGTATAGATTATAAGTCATCATTTCCTCTTGTAAAATCTTTGATGTTGAACGAGTTTATCGTGTCTATTTTTCAACAGTAAAAAAAAAACTATCTCATTCTTCATTTTAAATTATATTCTCTTTCGTAGATTTCAATTATCTGCAATATTCTGTTTACTTAAATATACATATATATATATGGTCAGTTTACAATTAAATGGTTAACATTGAGTATTTTTTTCTTTTTGTTCACTGAGAAAGAACTATACCTATTAGTAAACGTTTCACCATTATCACTAAGCTTTCTTTGTTTTTATTTATTAACATTTTGTACAGTTGAATTCACTTCTTCTTTGATTAATTTATTCACCTAATAATCATCTATTGACAATGAAGATAGTCACCTTCTTTTTATACAATGAAATAGTAAAAAAAGAAAAAAAAAGAAGAAGAAATAATTGATTAGGTCACAATGATCATGAGATTATGAGTGAAAGTAAAAAAAGTGTGCTTCTAATATGCACTTCATTACTACTTATAATTTCGTTCTTTCTTTCTATTTATTTAATTATTATTCAGCTAATTAAGATCATTCACTTACACACACACACACACACACACACACACGCGCGCGGTTAGAACACAATTAATGCATTTATTTTATTCTATTGCTTAATTCATTTTCATCGTCAAACTACACAAACAATATGTAACAGTTTTACGTTGTAATTTATCAATGTTATGTTCTATGTAAATACGAATGTATGTCGAGTTAGTTCACTGAGGGAAGTTAATAAATTTAGATATTGTATGTGTACATTTTTCATAATACACATATTGTAAGAATTTCTTTACTTAATCTTCGGTTTTCTTAAGAGGAATATAACATTGAAAGTGAAATTTACGGGTGTTTTGCTCATAAAACAAACGGACATTGTATACATCTGTTCATTCTTAGTATGAAAACATCAATAAGATTAGGATTACTTGTAATTGTATAATAAAAATATCCAAGACATCTTCGATGAATCTACGTAAATGGAGCTTCGAATACCATGGTACAGCTGAGAGCCGGAAGAATTTGTTCCGTTTTTCTAAATGCTTTCATATGGACATACATTTATAGTCTCTTCCACAGAATTCCTATTCATAGCCCTCACAGGGCCCGGGTGTTATTTCTAAAGAGGACAAAACGTTAGTGCTCAACGCTTACCTAGGTTCGTGGGTATGGAGGATCCACCTAGGATAAGTTGAAAACTCTGATTCGAGCCAGTGGTATACATGGGCTACAGCATCCTAAGTAAACGAATAGGGTACGAACCTATTTTTCGTCACTGGCCATCATGGGACCGGATTTCCTTATATCTCTCTACTGCCTCGTGAATTACACGCTTAGGTCAAAGGTTCGGGTAGTTGATCCCTAAGACATCCATCTGCTTCGGATTAGACAATCAGGGACTATCCTAGTTCACACACAAATTTTGTGTGCCCAATTGTGCCAGATTTTATGTGAGTGAAATAAATGAAAATATATAAATATCGGGATTCGTAGAAATTGTGATGTTTTCACAGTTTGAATCACGAGCCAATCAAAACTAGAACACCACTGAAGAGCTGAAAGTACCTGGAAATCACAAACCTCTGTACTGATAACAACCATGTGCTCACCACTGACTAGCTTGTGCAAGATCAAGGATTGATTGAAGTTAGATATTAATACCGTTGGGTGCCAGCTCAGTGGTCTAGAGGTTAAGCGTTCGCGCGCGAGACAAGGTCCTTTGTTCGTATTCTGCATGTGTGATCTTGAATGCGCCTTGCTGAGAAGTCCCATATTGGGACAAAACGGCAGTCCAGTGCTTCCAGATTTTCAATGTTTGTCTAGCTTAGACCGACTAGAGTTTTCAACTGTGAAAATATATAACATTGGGATTCTATCAGTTAACTAAGAATAACGATTTTAAGTACTTACCTGTGGTACAGATCGTCATTGTTCGTTGAAATACAGTTTTAAGCAAAAATGTTTTTCCGCAAACAAAGTTTAGCAGAATATTTTAAGGTACTACACTTCTAGATTGAATTTTGTTTACATGGTAACAGAATTTAGCTGTAGTATAGAATATTTATTTGCGTCACGAATGACCTATATGAGGGAAGTGTGTTTATGAAGCTGAGTGATACTGGGTCGAATCCGCTAGGTAAGATCAGTTCCTTCAAAGATACAGGTAAACTTTGCTCACGAGTGTCAAATAACACGAAACCAAGGTCCAAAGTTTCTTGTCGACTACCTCCAAGCATCTTACATCCCATTTATCATTACTCATTTAAAAATGAACTAGGAAGTGTTCGGTAAAACGGGCGTTATTTTAGTGGAGTTAAATTACAGAATTTTCAGTCTGGAAGTAATCCGGTACTTCACAAATTATTATGTGGTGAGTTCAAAAGAAAGACAAATTCAAACCAGTCAGTTTTCACACATTAGATTATTGCTGTTTTAGTGTTCTTGGGACTACAGAGATTTATTCCAATGTTTTTCAGTGATAACTTTTCCTCTTGTAAAGGGAATAAGCTTTAGAGATTTAAGTGACTTGTGGTTTTGTCTGATTGAAAATATTTCACTATTTGTATAATCACTACCTTAAAGTTTTCAAGTACTTATAGTCGGTTTCAATTATCACGAATAAAGTGTTTCTTCGATTTATGAACAATCTTTTTTTTCAATGGTTAAGATCATGAGTCAGTTGAAGCTAGACCACCATGGAAAACCTCGAAGCACTGGACGGTTTTCCATGGTGGTCTAGCTTCAACTGACTCATGATCTTAACCATTGAAATTACTACAATCTCCACAAAAACCCATCTGATATTAATCTTTTTTTTACAAAGCTGTTATATGAAATAACAACTCACTGAGATTTAAAATCAAATTCCTAAGGGATCATAACACATTTTAGGGAAACTTATCTTTCAAGTAAGGAGGATATGCTATAACTTCATGAATATTATCTAACAAACATTCTCTGACATTTAGTAGCATCAACCAGCTTTACGCATCAAATTTTAGAACATTCTTATAGTATTGACAATATTGAATGTAATAAGTATTAAAGGAATCATAGATTTTTGGTTTTAATTATTTGTAAGTTTGTTACTTCTATGCCGTATTTTTAAGGGGATTACAACTAGTAAAGAAAAGGCCATCAGTTGATTTCGATTCATCTAGTTTTCATAAAATCTTGATTATATCACAAATCTTTATCTACCTTTTTCTGATATGTTTGCTGCTTGAACGCTTGATACTAACGTTCTATGTGGTTTGGAGAATCCTTGAATACTCGTACACTTAGGCTCTGAACAGTAGAGAACAGACGCGAAGTAAGGATAGAAGTTCTACTTCAAGGTTAATTTATGTATATAAAACAAGCTTATCTATGACTTTTCGACTGTTCTTATCCCACTAGAGGCTTCTGAAAAACTTTTTAAATCATTAGCAAAATGCGATACTTGAACAAGATTGCCGTACGAAATGTTGAAGTTATTTTAATTTTAATGGTTGAGATTTTTTCAGATATCGTTTCCTTATTAATGTCCTCTCTTTCTTTAATGATAAATACGTGTTTTGGTTCAGAATCCAATCGATCAAATTTAGTTTCAACACAATTTACTAAATGTCATCAAAATCTGCCACTACTCAAGCTGTTTTTACTGTTCATGGAACCAGTAACTGACTCATTCGTAGTATGTTCATATTGTTTAGATTTCAAAGATAATCGTTACAGGGAACGTATAAATAGAATGATAAACTGTTACAAATCCAAGTAGTAGCATCTCAAAAATGTTTAGTGACAAATAATTATGGTTCCTTTTAAAATAGTTTAGGATTGTATCTTATGAAACACCATAGATAACCCAAATCAGAGTAACTGGTTTCCTCTGAAACTAAGCTAATTATGTCTGATTAATTTACCTCACTCTACAGTTTAGTAATGACGTTTTATTCAGTCAGGCATTTGTATTCACTTCAACTGTTGAGATCGTACAGATAATGAATGCAATTATTTCAGTTTGTAACTGTTTTTAATTCTTTCTGCACATATTTTCCCTTGATAATTAACTTTCATTTACAAAGTAGTAGCCTGTGTCCCATTTTAGTTTTATTCAACTTATGCTAACAATGTTTACCAATTTGCAAAACAATCCTTAGAGTACATCTTTTATATTCCTCTTAAAATAAACTGTCATTTAATATTGCACCAAACAGTAATGCACATAATTTCTACTCACTCGTTTCCTATTTTTTTTCTCTCCATTTTTCTCCCCTGTAAATATCATCTGATTTCAACAACAATCAAATACATTTATGGATATATCATCGTTTGTTGCTGCACATGTAATTACATATGTCTACTTGCCTTTCGTATACATTCATCCAATCACTTATATTTCATTCATTAAACTCACTTTATATTAAAATTATTTCACCTATTTGGTTTTACCATAATATCCTTCGCTAAAAATGGGTTGTTATTATTACATTGCACAATCTTCAATAATGTTGCACAATTTTACGCCTGTTATCTTTGCTGATATTTTATTGTTGGAATCAACAATGTCAAAATGATTGAAATCGCAAACTATTATATATTGTGATGTCATTCAGGGATATTTGTCTTCAACACTTAAACCGGCTGGAAAGAATGGAAAACTCACAGCAGTAAGTCGGTCTTTATTGATTATGAATATTTCTACCCCTTTATAGTGTTGAAAAAATAAATTAGATTCAATTGGTGGTATATTTAATTTTGGCAGTTCTTAAGTTTGTTATGTTTAATGAATCTGAGATTATTTTGATAATAATATTTAAAGGTTTCTGTGATCAAAGCCTAAATGCCCATACTGATGACCCAATAATAAAATTGGACTCCTAATTATGTCTTTACAAACAAACCTTAGACAATCATATTTCTAATCGATTGTTCAGTTGGTGTTATATTAAAATTTTCGTTGCATTTCACTGGCAGTTACGTCTAATAAATTACATTATTTGGAAAGCAAGTAGTTATCAGTTATTTCTGATATGTTTAGTGTTTATTCCCCCAGTATGCACCTTAGTTTAGTTTGATAGAAAATTTGTGAATCCTTATTTTTGCTTAGAACGATGTTTAGACATTTTCACTGGATATTGATATTTGTTATTTGTCTAATCTTCTACAAGATTTCTTAAAAGTACTCAGTCATAAATCCTCGTGGGATTGATAAATCGATTAAATGGATCGATGGTGAGCAGATTCCTTTCAACAACATTTAACTTAATTCGTTTATTGGCAATACCATGGACATAATCTCACTATCAGATAATCTGAGACGGGTTTACTAATAAACCTCATTATTATTTTATCTAAGGATTAAATATTTATGTATCGTAGCATGGAATATTATAAATGAAAAAGTTCTTACATATTTATAAAAGAATTATTAAGCCAGTATTTGGTTACTTAATCCTGTTGCATAATGAATTTTAAGATTCCAAATTATTAGTGTTATGATCTCATAGTGTGATAAACAACATATACACCATCGGATTCCAGCTCAGTGGTTTAAAGGTTAAGTGTTCGCTTGTGAAGCCGGAAATCCTGGGTTTGATCACCGGTTAGGCTTGTGGATGTACACTACTGGAATATACCATACCGTAGGATGAAACAGCTGTCCAGTGCCGCTCCGTTTTTATTGATAGTTCAACTAAGATCGTTTGGTGGGTCTAACTGTCAAAATTCTACAATCTCCACAAGTCCTCATTATACTAATTTTTTGTCGTCATCTTTAATGTTTCCTATGCGCAACTTATTCGATCACTAGATCAAATTCATCAATCAGAATCCAGATTATAATTTCTACCTCGTGTATACGTTTTTCCCGTGCGGGCCAATATCTTTATTTTTGACGAAATAACGCGCTCCGCCTTGGAACGATTGATCTACAGGCATAACGAAATAATATAATGACTATTGATTCTGATTCATGCTTTTATTCTAAATCACTGTGTTGATTGTAATAAGCGAATACAGAAGTAGGTAAACTTATGGTAATACTTCAAACACTCATGTGTCTATATACATGAATAATCAAACTGTAGTACACCTCAATTAAAAATTTATACTTGATACATAATCAAGCCAAACGTGAAAGAGATTGCGGTAAAAAGTAGACAACTAATCATCAATAATTAAAAACTCCGATGTAACATTTTCAATGAATTCCATTCAGATCTAAGATAAAGTATGTCAGTTAGCTTTTTCATCAGTCTAAACTTTTTAAATAATAGTGTTGTTTTACTCAATACATATTGAAACATAGATTTCCTATACCTGAAACAATCGATATTCAACTAATGTAGTTCTACACTTTCAAATATGATTATCCTCTAAAATTACGTTCAAAGTTGGTTAGAATTTTATCATTGATGATCATTTAGAAATATCCAAACAGATAGACTGGGTAGAAATTAGAAAAATCTATGGATTCTTTGACATCGGTTACTTTGCTTTTTCCGCTTTACGAACTAATACAATTTAAGTTTTATTTAGTACCAATTTCAGATCAATAAGATAAATCTTCAAAATATCTTAAATGTTGAATATAAAATAGTTGTGTTCCGTAACAAGCATGTTACTTTCTTCAAATAATTAAATGAGTTTAAAGAGATCACAATTAATAATCCAATCTAACCTTTCAATGAATTCATTTAAAACGTAATTGGCTTTGAATCTACCATGTGAAAATAATTAATACATGTTTCATCTATAAGTGTACATCACGAGTTGATCGTAGTCAGACAACCGTTGATAACCATGATACACTAAAGATTCGTTTTGTCCTGATACGGGACTTTTCAGAGGTTCGCATTCGTGATCGCAACGAAGATAAGACTCAGGAAGTTCAGGTATCACCGTGAGCTCTTAACATTTATTCAACTCAACTGGCAACCATTATTTTACACTCCTAGTTTCAATCAATTCACAATACTGTGCAGTCGCCTTTCAGTGGTTAATGTCTCACATTCGGCATGGCTGAACTCCACAGCTGACGGATTCTTATCCTAACTGTCAAAATTGTCTTTCAAAATTCGCCATTAGTAAGCACGTGATTATTATCGACATAAGGAATTTGTGGATGTTATTGGAGTTTTAGTTCACATAACAAACTGGCGGAAGCTAGAAATATAAATTATTGAATGCCCACTCAGTGGTCTAAAGGTTGAGTGTCCGCCTCTAGACCTGGAGGGTCTGTGTTCTGCTCTTGATGGGGTCGTGAATGTACACTCCTGAGGGATCCCATGCTAAAACGAAACAACCGTCCATTGTTTGCCCGTTTTCGATTGCTGTCTAACGAAACTAGTCCACGCTATAGACTATAAAATCCTGAAACTTCGTCAAATCCCTCGTACTAGTAAGGGTCGAATCATTTGTAAACGTTCGACATTTCGAGAGTTTCCTATTGGAAATTGTTTTATTTTTCATTCATTTTCATTGTGATTACTATTCCAAATTGTCAATTTTCTCTTTAAATTGTAGCCCGTCGGTTTTGTAACTTTCGAATCACGAGAACAAGCTGAGGAAGCAATGACAAAACTTCAGGTAACGTCTAAACAAAAATATTTAATCGTTTACTTCGTTTTTCTCCATTTATTTATTTATTTAAATACATAAACATTGGTACAAGGAGGTACCAAATACCTATTCACCACAAAAATCGAATGATTTGTGTGAGGGCTGCAATACTGCCCGATTGCCTAACCGAGGAAGGTGCCTTAACAAGTTTGTAGCATGAAGTTCTTCATTATAACTCATTAATAATCATTATGACCACGTATTGGTTATCATTTTTCATGATTAAGATGAAAAATTCAGAAATACAAATCAGTTCTACATAGAAAAGGACACAATAACATCATACATGTAAGTACACATGATCAAGTACTGGAGTTTAATAGGCAAAATGACTTCTATTGTTCTTCTACTCAGTGATTTTTCTGTATTTTTTCTGTATATACTTACACCATATAAAGAAAAGACGTCAATACTTGAAATAAAAATATTGTACTTAAAGCTTAGTTGTGTGGTTTGTACTACTGATGTCGACAGATATAAGTAGTATGTGTCATCAATCGAAAGTGAAATATCTGGCGGCAGAAGGTTAAGAAGATCGAAAGAAAGAGAACGAAAACAGAGAATGATTGGTGTGGAAACGAAAGACCAATGAGATCCGAGACGATTGATCCTCACTTTACAGAAGGAACAGTAAAGTTTGAGACAATAGATTGACATTTTGCAAATGAAGTATTTGCTTTATGGTTCTCAGATTTTACTAAGATGTTCCATAATTTTGTTCTGAAATACATCCGATTGTCCCCACTTGTGTTCTCGTTCATTACAGTTGTTAGTCCTTAGTAAGTTTTTTATAGATACTGGTTCAGGATTACTATTTAGCTGTATAAAATCTTATCAAACTGATCAGATTCTATGCTTATACCAGTTCATAAAAAAACAAAGAAATTCTTATGATTATCATAGAACGAGCCGGGGGATCGTATTTAATGAAAGGCGAAGTCATTGCACGACAGAGGCCAAACAACGATAATAAGTCAGTCAATTATCTGTGAACTGAAATTGACTTTTAGACTACTAGTCACAGAATTCATTTTTACTTCACTTATTATGGTTTTTAATAGTCAGATACAACTATTAGTTGTAGAGTTAAGCGTGTGGCGTAGATTACACAAATATCTCAGTATTCAGACTTTGTGCAGAAAAACTGAATTATACAAATGATTAAGTAGGACATAAATAACCGTGAATTTCTTGAAATAATTAGTAATACCGAAATTCAATCCGGATATACCTGCATCGCAGTGTTGTTCAAGCTTCAAACTCCAACACATTATTAGCTCAGCTATTGAGTTCAGATAACCACAAGCCTGTTCGACGGATGTGAATTTTATTTGTAAGGATTTAGATCTTCTCTTTGTTGATTCTCAACACTGTAATTAATCGATCTCTTCTGGAATATTTACATTCTGAGTGGCTTGCTCTTAAATAAATGATGCCTGTGTGGCAAGACAAATCGATTATTTTCAGTCCTCAACGTCAACAACGGGACGATACAAGCCTTTACAAATAAGAATAATCTTATTTAACATGTTCGTTATCTGATTAAATAAAACAACTTACACTAAATTAAATGTAAACCTAGTACTTAGTATCTCATTCGCTCAGAAACTTCATCCACTGAAATTTAAATCATGGTTTAAAATTTAATCGAATGTCAATGATCCTGATATGATTCACTTCCTTGTCATTTGAGCTGTCGATCTACTATTGAAAGTTATAGGTTTCTCACTCTATCAATTTGTATGTTGGTTAATAATATTTCTTTTTCAATGACATAATTACTTAAGCCTGATATCTCTTGTGAGACATAGACTACCGATTAGGGATCTTTAGTCAATTCTGTTCTGAGCTCTCCTTTTCAGTTATTTGAGATGCCTCTTTTCCTTTTATCTTGATGACTCCAAATTAAGGGTTGCATTAATGTAACACTAAATTATAATTGGAACTTCTTTCTAACTCATTAATTTACATAAATGTGCAACTTTGTCGTCAGTTTTTTTTTATTTATTAAAAAAAAGCAGCAAACAAATAATTAATTTAATTAATACGAATTACTTCGATTGAACCAATAATGTTTGTTTAACGTTTGATTATTTTATTGATTTTTATTTGTTTAGTTCATTGACACCATGTTTCATGTATATATATATGCACATATATATACCATATTGTATAATAGAATCGTTGTAGTCAATTAGAGTCGTTTTCTACCACTCTTTTTTATTACTACTCAAAAAAACACAAACATTTATTTGATATAAAATACATGGATATTAGAAAAAAAAAGTTATACAAACACATGCGCACATTTACATGTGTACAAACCGCTTATTGAATATAAAGGTAACAATCACCAACACACGCACATAAATACATACTCACACACACCAATACACTCATCTACATATTCATTTAAATATAGCGAAATGTTCTTGTTGATACGGTAACTTGATCTATTGATTTGGTCGGTTTTTTCTTAGTTTAGCATGTTTCATAATGAAGTTCTTTGTAATCGATTAATCACTGACTAATGTCCACTATTATGTTTATCTAGTTCTTTAGTGTTGATCGATAGAAATCGATAAAGATGAGATGCGATCACTAGTTTATATGTAATTGAACGTCGTGTGGATTATGTTGAGATGATTAGTTATTGGAGGACGTTTACGGAAAATTCTGCTCGACCCACGTCTTGTGCTAGTCAACAGTTGACAAGAAAGATGAACCTGTAGTCTTGAGAAAACTTGTACCCCTTGTGGTATTTTAAATCGGGTCACCAAACTTCACGGACAGAAACGTTACCATTGAGCTATTCGGTCAATTGGGATTGATCGATAGAGTTTAACCAACACCAAAGGATTAGACAAACATGTCATTGGTTACTATTCAGTGATCAATCAATACTAAATACCTTCCAGTCGGTCGCATCCTGAATAACTAAATAGTAAAGTCTCAGACATGGGATTGAATCGTTCAGAGAGCAATTAAGGAAAATGAGATAGTCACTTTTGATAGTTCACAAACATGAAACATCTAGCAGAAAAAAGTGAAGTAGTCAGTATAGGGTTGTTATGATTGTTAAATTTCATTGAAATTTTGACAACCATTTAAAACTTGCAGTCGCTGGATGGCCGTTTGGTCCTAGTATGGGACACCTCAGCAGTGTAAATTCATACTCCCTTTATGTGTACAGAAACAGTTTGTCATAATCTTGAATTTGCTCTCATAACCTTCTCACTGTTCTGTCGAAACTACTGATAAATTTAGTGTACAGAATGTTTTCAAGGCAACCTAGAAATAATATCGTTGTTACTTTAATGCTGTAATTTACGACTGCCATAAAAAATGTAACTACTGTCCAATAAATAATGTGAGATTGTGGAGCAACTAAGTATACATTGATGTATTAATGCATATTATACAAAATTCAGCAGATCTTGTATCTCAATTTGATAGCGAATAACGATTATTGAACGTAAATTATCGCTCCATGCCTCACTCGATAGTTCGACCATGTAGATACAATGCGTCGAATACATTTTTTATTGATTTCTAATAAATTATATAATACGTCTACTTTCGAAAACGGTTAAATACTTACTTACTTACTTGCGCCTGTTACTCCTCGTGAAGCAGCATAGGCCGCTCAGCAGCATACTCCATCCAACCCTGTCCTGGGCAATCCTTTCTAGCTCCTTCCAGTTGTAATTCATCGTTTTCATATCTGTTTCTATTATCCGACGCAATGTGTTCTTTGGCCTTCCTCTTTTTCGCTTCCCTTAAGGATTCCAAGTCAGGGCTTGCCTCGTGATGCAGTTTGACGATTTGCGTAATGTATGTCCTATCCATTTCCATCGTCTTTTCCTAACTTCTTCTTCAGCTGGGAGTTGGTTTGTTCTCTCCCACAGAAGGCTATTGGTGATGGTATCCGGCCAATGGATGTTGAGTATCTTGCGTAGACAGCTATTTATAAATGCTTGTACTTTCTTGATTGTGGTTGTTGTAGTTCTTCAAGTTTCAGCTCCATACAGTAGAACTGCCTTGACGTTGGTATTGAAGATTCTCACTTTGATATTGGTTGAAAGTTGTTTTGAGTTCCATATGTTCTTTAATTGTAGGAATGCGACCCTTGCTTTGCCGATCCTCCCATTTACGTCTGCATCTGAACCTCCTTGTTCATCGATGATGCTTCCTAGGTATGTGAAGGACTCTACATCTTCCAGAGTTTCGCCATCAAGAGTGATTGGATTGCTGTTTTCCGCTTTGAATTTGAGGACCTTAGTTTTCCCTTTGTGTATGCTGAGGCCTGCTGATGCAGAGACTGCTGCTACATTGGCTGTCTTCATCTGCATCTGTTCGTGTGTATGAGATAGGAGGGCTAGGTCATCTGCGAAGTCCAAATCGTCTAATTGATTCTGATTTGTCCATTGTATTCCATGTTTTCCTTCAGATGTCGAGGTCTTCAAAATTCAGTCGACTACCAGAAGAAAGAGGAAGGGAGAGAATAAACAGCCTTGTTTGACTCCGGTCCTTACTTGGAATGCATCTGTCAGCTGTCCTCCATGCACTACTTTGCACTGTAGTCCGTCGTATGAGTTCCGGATAATATTGACAATCTTCTGAGGAACTCCGTAGTGTCGAAGAAGTTTCCATAATGTCCTCCTATCTACACTGTCAAATGCTTTTTCATAACCGTTTTGTATAAAAAAAAATAATCCAAAACGGTTAAATGTCAAAAGCAAAATATTCAGCAGTAAAAAATCATTCTTTGATAGGCAGATGACTTAAGTCACATGTTCAAGAAATAGAAGAAATAGGAATAAGTTTTATTTCATCATCTACTGAATGTTTGTTACTGAATTGTAGACAAGTTCATACTGATGAATATCATAACATCATTAATTAATTGATGAAAGAGAAACATGGAATGATTTTTGAAGCAGATTTTATTGAATCTTAAATAATTTCATCTGGTTTCTGTTTTATGTAGAAAAAAAATTAATGTCATAATCCAATTGTTTATAAAAGTGATTTTATCAAGTTTTTTTCCTAATTTTCCTAATTATTAGGGTGTGAAATTCGATCCAGATGGCAATCAACATATGCGTTTAGAGTTTGCCCGTAGTAATACTAAAGTTACTAAACCTAAGACAACAATTCCTGTTGGTTTTGGTAATAATCCACATCAGAATGGAGTAAATCAACCTAATTCTTTGTCGAATCTGGGTACTTGTCCAACAAATATGATTTCAACTGGTAATATCAGTGGTATGGTTGCTAATTTACAACCATCAATATTTGCTCAATTGGCAGCTACTGGACCAACTAGTAGGTTTTTTTTTGTATCTACCCGAAGGGGGCTAATAGATAGAAGTGCAATTGTACAAATGTTTCACTCGTTTACAGTTGAAATATTTATTTAGGTCAATATTTTTATACCATTCTCTAAACATTGTTTTGTACCACCAACGTTTTTGTAGGATATTATTTTCAACACAAAACTTTGTCACAGGTTGAAATCATGAGTCAGTTGAAGCTAGACCACCATTGAGAACCTGGAAGCCCTGGACGGCCGTTTCGTCCTAGTATGGGACTCCTCAGCAGTGCGCATCCACGAACCCGCCCCCGCGGGATTCGAACCCAGGACCTACTGGCTTCGAGCGTGGGCACTTGACCATTAGACCACTGAGCCGGCATCCAACGGTGTTAATGTCTAACTTCAACCAATCCACGAAGTTGCGCCACCGAACACCATTGTCTTCAGTGAGCTGATATCTCACAACAGACCTGGTTGAACTCCACTGGTGACGGCTTCTCACTAGAACTCCAGGAGGTTCTCCTGAATTCAGTCACTAGTGAGCAGGTGATTATTATCAGAATGAGTTTTGTGGAGATTTTTAGGAAATTTCACAGGTTGAAATCATGAGTCAGGTAAAGCTAGACTGCTGAGGAGTCCCATACTAGGACGAAACGGCCGTCCAGTGCTTCCAGGTTTTCAATGGTGGTCTAGCTTCAACTGACTCATGATTTCAATCTGTGAAATTTCCTAAAAATCTCCACAAAACTCATTCTGACAAAACTTTGTACCGTATAAATCGAAAGTTACGTTACAAAAGTATGAGGACAATATAAAGATGTAGAGTAGAAGAAATCATCAATAATTATATTTGTATTAGATACAGCTTCTTTAATAGTAAAAATTGGAAAACATTTCTTGCAAAGGAAATCTTGTTTATTGGAAATATGGGTAAAGTCTGTAGGAACGCCACCAGTGTGTTGAATTTAAAACCATCAAATAATTGTAGTAAATCAACAAATATTAACTGGGTTGAGTCGGATACCACATTTTCTTAGACCTAATGCTTCTCTCTACTTTCAATCCGTTCTAGGGCTTGGTGAAAATTATTGACATAGTGTGCCACTGAATATGACCGGTAATACTGGAGCGACTGAACAATGAGTAAAATCTAATATCATAAGCTTCAGAAGTTAGCTAATATGGTGACAAACTATTAAGACTAAATCGTTACAAAGTTTACCTTTTACATCCTGATTAGTGTTGTAATGAATATCCGATACAGTTTGGTGTTCAACTATATTTTGACGTTTTGTAATTAGAGGCAATTCCAACGTGGACGTCACGCTAGTTGACACTTGTTAACAAGAGACCTTAGGATATTTGGAGAACTAGTGTTACCCAGTGATACTTTAAACTGTGACACCCGGGATTTACAGCTCTACTAGTAATATTCTTCGATTGACAAACCTCAATTTAGGTTTCTTTTTACTGAATATTTTACCCCTTTATTTCCAGTTGAGACATCCAATGGGATATTCGCTACGGCGACAGATGCTTCTACCGCGATGGCAGCGGCTGCAGCCGCCGCTGCTGCCGCTCAATGGGCTACAATCCCTGGCTTACCGTCACTTGCTTCAGCCTACGAAAATACAGCTTATTTGTCTTCAGCAGCTGGTTTAGTTCAAGCAAATAATTTTCGTGTAAGTTTACTTTCATTTAATCTTTTCTTAACAAATTGTAATCCTTTTGTTCAAAGAAAACTATTCAGTTTATCAATTCTAGATTTTAACAAATCTAATGTTGCTACTGTTTGTTCGTCAGTGATTTAAATAAATGATTTTGTATTTAAATCTAATACTGATAAGTTCATTATTTCAACAAAGATTGCTAGGTGTAATTCAGTAATAGTCAGATAACTATTGGGAAAAGAAGTATTATGTGTATAGCGATTTCCCTGTAATTTTATATAGTATGCCGACTTTCAGTTTTGAGTATATCACATTCACATTAAAAGGACTATTATTAAATCCACCTGATGTTTCTTACCAAACAATCGAGTGACGCGTGGAAATCCTGAAATTAAACGATACAATAATTATTAGTAAGTTGAAGCCAAAACAGTTAACTGAAAGAACATCTACTGTACGGAAGATTTTTCTCATGAACGTTTAGTTTAAAGGAGATACAGCCTCAGAAATCTTACGAAATTGATTGTCTAACTGCTTGAAGAAATTTTATTAATTGATCTGCAAATTGTAATTTTCCGCCAGGTGACTGATGCTAAAATGTTTTTTGAGGACAAACTATCTCTTCGAACGATTTTATTTGCTTTTGAGGAGCATGTTATACTTGTCGCGCAAAGTATTCTCTTTCCAAATACATAGCGGGTCGTTATCCATCACGGTCACCAAAAGGCGATTTTAAATCAGTCGAAGACTCGATTGTTCAATATCTAATCGGTTCTAGTCATCTGTCTCCATCAGAATCTTTAAAAGATTCTTCAAAGAAGAGTAAGACGAACTGGTTTTTTGGGAAGCTGAACAAGAAACTTATATTATGTCTTTCTTATCTCCTTTTGACCATTATACAATCTTACATCCTGACTGACTTTTAGTACCTCTCTGTTAATAAGTCAATAATTCCTTGTCTTTGTGACAGACTATTAGATGTAAAAAAATAACTATAAGTATGATTGTGTAACTCTGGTAAGTGATATCATTGAGTCCCTGAAACGTCCTCATCAAGACAAACAAATTTCGGCGATTACAAATGTTAAGAGAGTATAACTACGATAATAAATATATGATTTGTTACTCATTCATGTAATAACTTAGATAATACCATACAACAAATAAATGATAGAGATCATGAATCGATTGATGTTAGACCATCACAATTGAAAACCTGGAAGCACTGGACGGCCGTTTCGTCCTATTGTGGGACTCCTCAGCAGTGCGCATCCACGATCCCGCGAGCGGGATTCGAATCCAGGGCCTTCGGTCTCGCGCGCGAACGCTTAACCAACTGGACCACTGAGCCGGAACACAGTGCTTCCAGGTTTTCAATTGTGATGGTCTAACATCAATCGGTTCATGATCTCAATCAAAAACTTAATAATCTCCACAACCCCTATACTAGTAAATAAATGATATGAAACGCAACATCTTCGAAAATGATTGATAATGACATTAGTTACTGAATATTAGTTAGTAACATAATGTAATAACAAATAAGAATCGAATGAGAAAACGTAGATAACAGATATAAACAGAATTAACTCTTATAATACCGTAACGAACAACTTTGTTTTTATGTGTTATTATTCATACTAATTAGATTTATTTGAGTTTCTGATTAAAAGTTTAATTAATCGGCTTAAATCACGTATGTAATACACAAATGTATAATTCAGTGTAAATCCTTAGAAAATCGAAGTGTTGACTGTAATTATATAAAATGGTTATCAAGTAGAAAATCTCACATTCTACTAAAAGGCAGCTTAAATCGTTTCTAAGTCAACTATCATTAAGCGAGAAATACTGTTCTATGTAATTGTAATTGATAAATACAAATGATTAGAAAAAAGGTCAGGTATAGACCGTAGTTCATCTTGAAGTACTAGACAATCTGATTAGAATGGAGTTTGAAAATGACTCCTTGACAGATGTAGAGATGAAGCCTGACCACTAACAACACAGTTAATTGGAGATGCTAGATTCATTAATTTAAATTTTGTGGTTTGAATCCAGCGACTAAATAGTTTTGCAAACTTCACTTTAATAATCAAGTTTATTCTATTTAAGGGTTAAAAGTTAGTTAACACAGTTGAGTTGGGGTTGAAACAATGTGTGGAGAACATTGAAATGATATGCTAAACATCTATACCGTGTTAAAATTCATTTAGGAAAATGTTGAAATGTTTATACGATGTAAGTGATAGCTCATCCAGTATGTGTTTGTACCAGTAGAATTTCAAAGAAATGAAATACTAATTTTCAGATGATGGAGAAGATTTGTAGATCAGGTTGATGATTTTGGTGCAGTTTGACCAAACCATCCAGGTTGGAGAACATCACGACCAAACTATCGAGCTCAGAGAACACACGACCAAACCATCCAGCTCAGAGAACAAAACTGCACCGAAATAAAATACTGTCTAATCAGTTTTCAATGTATTCCGTCGGTACAAAATCCGATGACTTATATTTAAAGAGAATTGATTGAAATTTGATAACATTTGTTTGACTGCAACTTTTTCACGGCGAAAATGTCTTCCGTAGTGTTTTACGTTTTCCTAAGTTCCTCAAAGATTAAAATATGAAAAAATTTTTTGTATATAAAGAAAGTGACAAAATCGGAAGTATTTTTTAAAATAACTTCTGTACCTATAAAAGAAATATGACTACAATTCATCAAAGTAGTTTTATGCCAGTCACGTTTATTGATCGTCTAATGATACTGGTTCTTTTTTGAAACTAAACCTCGAATGACTCAATGAGAATGGATCATGTTATTCTTGGGTTTCAAGCGAGTGTCCGGCGCTTTAACCGGGTCGGTGGACATGGAGAGTCCACCTAGGAGAGTTGGAAAACCCTCATTCCAAACCAATGGTGCACATGTGCTCCAGTATCCTGAAGGAACAAATGACGTACGAACCAATCCTTGGTCACCGGCTACCATGAGACGGCATCACTTTACGATGCTCCACTGCCTTGTGGACCAGACCTTCAGGTCGAAGGCTCAAGGTGTGGCCCCCTAATAAAACCACCTGCTTCGGTTTGGGCACCCGGGCAGTATCACAGCCCTCACACATATCGAATGAGATTTGTGTGGCGCATATCTATTTGGTGCCTCCTTGTACCAATATCTATGTGTTAAAATAAATAAAATAAAACAGAACACAACTCTCATATTTATTAGAATATTAAACATCTTGAAGGTTTTATTTTTTAAATATGGTTTGTTTAATTTTCAGGTGTTTTCACTTTTTTAGGATTTAAGTAGTTTGTAAGTGTTTTCGACCACTAGTTGATATCCATTGTGTTATCGTTTTGAGATCAGAGAATGCTGGTCAGTTTTACGATACTAGTGTGAAACTTCACAACAGTACATACGTCCGATTGTCCGATTTATCAAAGTTTCTACTTCACACAAGAGGATTAGATACTGGAAGGAAATTCTGAAAGTTTTGTATTTTTAGTGTTTTATCCAAAATACTTTGAGTGATTTGAAAATGATGAATATGGTGAAAATATTTCTTCTCCCCTACTGTCTCAAACAATGTTTACGTATGCTATGCTTTTTGGAAGCAGTACTGAGCCAATTCTTTTTTGAGAAAGTATTTCATCGGATTCGCTTTTTCATGCATGTTTTTCTATACGATATTTTTTTCATAAAAATTATATATATACATACATTATTTATCTATTCAACTGTATACTTGATAGACTTTAGTCCCTGGAAGTATGAACACTGGTACTTATGGTATGCAAACTGCTAATCCATCATCTATTCCCAGTCTACAAATGGTTCAGGCTGCTATTGCTCATGCTAACGTAGCTGCAGCTTTATGTTCTGCAAATGCATCTTCTATCAGTGGTGGTACAGTTTGTTCACCTTCTACACTTGCTAATTTATCACAGCAAAACAATACACAAGTATCATTTTGTAATACAGGTACATCAAATTCTCCAAGTCCTAATAGTGGAACAGGATCATCTCCAGCTGCTGTTTCTGCATTGTCTCATAGTACAAATTCTCACTTAAGAAATAATTATTTTCCTAGTCATCAGTCAAATGCATCGAATGTTGCCTCATTTATGGCACAATTACAACAACAACAACAAAGTCAGGTAAATCATTGATATAGAATGTGACTGCGTTTATAAACTCTATTTGTATTTACAATATATTTATCAAGGTCATTAATTTATTGCTTTCATGTAAAGAATATGTTGAGTTTACCAGTAATGAAATGATTTAAATCAAGTTGTTTTCCAAATTTGGCAACAATCATGAATATACAGATCATCATGTTGATTAAAAACTACATTTTAAATTTTACAAACCGAATAAATAACTTCAACGCTCTGTTTAGTTATACTCTGGTACGGCCGAAAGTGGGGAAAGTCAGCTCTCCCTCTCGAATTTCTCTCACATGGCCGCGTTCATACAACCACTACCAGTGAAGTTCTACTCACTGCCTTCTCTCACCATGGGTGTTGTTTACGAAAATGAAAGGACGAAAAGCAAATGTCCGGCACTTTAACCGGGTTGGTAGACGTGGAGAGTCCACCTAGGGGAGTTGGAAAACCCTGATTCCAAACCAATGGTACACATGGGTTTCAAGATTCCGAGGGAACAAATGGCGTGTGGACACATTATTGGTCACCTGCTACCATGGGACTGCATCTCCTTAGGTCGCTCCACTGCCTTATGGATCAGACCTTCGGGTCGAAGGTTTCGGGTGTGGGGCCCCCTAATAAAACCACCTCCTTCGGTCTGGGCACTCGGGTAGTGTGCCAGCCCTCACACAAATCGAATGATTTATGTGGCATATATGTATTCGGTGCCTCCTTGTATCAATGTTCATGTGTTTAAATAAATAAATAATTTATAATCCTAGTATACAATATAACAGTTTTCAAAATGAACTATAAATGAAGAATTCAATTAATATAAATTATGCATTTCTGTACTTTTCACTTTGAGTATCTGCTTTTTAAGCGGACGATATTGTCTTACTGTGCGATAATGCCCAAGGCATGCAATCCGCACTTAATCAGTTGTCAATCAGTATCCGTAGGTATTGTATGTGCTTTGCACCTTCGAAGTACAAAGTACGTCTACAAGACTGGCAGGATTCCAATCCTGTACTCACCCTGGATGGTGAGCAGATAGAAGTAGTCGAGAAGTTCGTGTATCTGGGTAGCTGCATAAGTGCTGGTGGGGGTGTGAGTGATGAGATCAATGCACGTATAGTGAAAGTCAGAGCGGCTTATGCCAATCTGAACCACCTTTGGCGCCTTCGTGATGTTAGTCTGGCTGTAAAAGGTCGGATCTACAACGCGTCGGTGAGAGCAGTTTTGCTCTATGCTTGTGAAACCTGGTCTCTCCGAGTTGAGGACGTTAGACGACTCTCTGTGTTCGGTCATCGCTGTCTCCGAAGGATTGCTGACATTCAGTGGCAGAGGTTTGGCATCGTTTGTTCGGGCACAGAGATGATAGTTCAATTGGTGTCACCATCTTGAAACACCGACTTCGGTGGCTTAGACATGTTCTACGAGTTCGTCCCAGATAATTCCATGTCGTGCATTATTTGCCGACTCTGGGACTGGTTGGAAAAAGCGGAGAGGTGGTCAGTGCATGACATGGTGTCGTGGTATGAAAGAAAGCTGCAAAGGACTGGCTTGTGTTGGTCCTTCACGACTCCCTGGTTGGGGTCTGAGGGATGGTGCAACGCAGTGGCTAGAGACGTTATCAGATATGGCTGAGAATAGAAGCCAGTGGCGATCCTGCTGTAACCTTCTTTTACTTTCTTCATATAAAGTGGTTGTGTCTCCCTTACCTGAAAGATTTCTTCCGATTGTACCTTTGCGTTCCCTGATTACTAGCACATTACCTTACACCAATCTCTTCGTTATTGTTCTCTATCTTTTTTTCGTTGCGCTCCTTAGCTTTTTTTTCTTTCTTTGTATTGCTCTCGAATTTTCATTGTTTTGTGTGGCGCATATATATTGGCGCTCTCTTGTACCAATATTCATGTGTCCAAATAAATAAATAAATAAATATTTTTAAGCGAATGCCTCCATATAGAGTATGTGAATCAAAGTTATTTAGGATTTCCATATTGATTGACAGTATAATTTAAGACTTGTCAGTCTAACGTTATTGTTAACATTGTAACTGGAACCCAGTGCTAATCATTTTAAATACTAATTTATAATAATAATAATAATCAATTTGTTTCACAGGTTGAAATCATGAGTCAGTTGAAGCTAGACCACCATTGAAAACCTGGAAGCACTGGACGGCCGTTTCGTCCTGGTATGGGACTCCTCAGCAGTGCGCACCCACGATCCCGCACCACGCGGGGCTCGAACCCAGGACCTACTGGCTTCGCGCGCGAGCACTACTGAGGAGTCCCCTACCAGGACGAAACGGCCGTCCAGGGCTTCCAGGTTTTCAATGGTGGTCTAGCTTCAACTGACTCATGATTTCAACCTGTGAAATTTCTAAAACTCCACAAAACCCATTCTGAAATCAATTTGTTCTGAGTATGATAATCGACATTATTCTTTAAGGCTCTGTGTGTTCTTTAATCAATAATATGCATTACACTCTAAATATTTCCAATTCTTTTCTGATAGAAGATGCATACAAAGTGAACTGTTGTCAGTCATAATAAATATAATGTCACTACTAGAAAAAGTTGAAGTTATTAGTGCAAAACTGTTGTGCAGGTGAAACAAACAACATTCGTTTACTAAGTAGTTTAAGTGGTTCAAAAGATTTTAGTCACCTATAGATTTTGATTATGCCTTATTCAACGTTACTGTTAACTATAATCATGGATTACTTCGAAAATGATGGGTCTATTTCATTTCCCAAAAAGAAAAATAAATGATAAGCATTATCTTTGAAGTTTGTTCACTTTGAATCATAAACTGACAAATGATTCATTAATGAGGAAAAATGTATTTGTAAATTATCAGTGAATGAATCGGAAGTAAATCCAACATTTCGCTTGGTAATCTGGTCCAAGCTTTTTCAAGGAAATTTTATCAAACATCAGTTATCGAATATACATAAAGCCATGGTTCTCTGGTTCACTATACACGAAATCGGTCATTCAATCAATGTTCATAATGTTTAAATTAGGTATTTGCTTTAGTGTGTGTGTAAAAGGCATGTGGTGTGAATGAGTTCAGTGAATTCATTCCTTTATCTTGTTTATTTATCTTCATTTTATGCATGCTGTGACATATTTGATTCATATCATGTGATAAAAAATTGTATGTTTTCTTAAAATTCGCTGACCAGAGACAATATACAGTGAATGAAATTTCTTCTCACTTAAGTATACTCACATTCTCTTCTCTTAACACTTTTCGTATCACACCACATGTCTCTTATACACTAAAGCAAATACCTACTTTAAAGATTGTTATCGTTGATTGAATGACCTATTTAGCGTACAGTGAACTGAAGAACGATTTCCTTATTTATATTTGATAAATTCGATGTTTGATTATATTTCTTTGGAAAAGCTTGGACCAGATTGCCAAGCGAAACGTTGGATTTACTTCAAATTAATTCTCTGATAGTTTACAAATACATTTTTCCTCTTTAATGTCTCACATCAACTCGGCTCCCAAATACTACGAAACTATTCGATCAAATTTAGACGAAAGTTCTTATATGGTAAATGTTTTTTTTAAGGTGATAAAAATGTAGGTGAAATAATCGATCAGTTTCATGATAATTGCGCCTTATTTTGATGGTAATTAAATTACTTTCTGTATTCTAGCCAGTAAAGAAACATTTTCAATTACATTCAAAATTTACATGTTACTATATATTGTATACCTAAATTTCAACTTAGAAAACATCAGGATAATAATGATAGCTAAATTGTATTTTCTTCTTGAAATGTAATATAGACATTAGCTACAGTTCATTTGAATCAACATGGAAGTGTCAATACACCGAATTCTCCATTAGGTTTTGCTAATGTCGTTTCAGCTACAACTGGTCTTCCACCTCAAATGGCTGCTGCGGCGGCTATTGGTCTATTAGGTGGTGGATATAATTCAATTATAAAAGAGTTAACAGGAAACGAAGGTCAATTTCAATCTGGTCTATCACCATATCAACAAAATGTAAGTTTGAATAACTACCAAATATTTTTCACACGTATGTACGCGTTACGTTAATTCTATCGGAGAGTCCAACTACATGAATGAGATATGTGTGGAACCGAATTACAAAAAATTTCTTTTAAAGAACGGTCATTTTGTTGAGGAATAAATATAAATTGGTTACAAAACTCAGCTCGTGAGATATCTGTGGCGACTAACGTGTTTGTATATCTGGGAAGACAACAACCTATTTAGCGATCACATTGCGTAATGACAACCAAAATGAGAACTAAGGACATACAAATCTGGAAACTGCAAAGTTTAAACAAAGATCCAAGGAGTGCAAAAAACTGAGAGTAACTGTTGTATGAGTTGAGAGAAATTAATTATAATAACTACTCTAAAAATTGTAGAATATCAATAGGAGACAGAATTTCGTTACATTACACGCCTAGAAATTGTTAGAAATAAAAATGCTTACTGAATATTACTAAGTAGTATAAGTCAATACACAAAATATAAGTTGAATAAAAGGAGGATAGAAACAGAAGGTACAAATAGACTTAACATGTCACTTTTATTTCTCATCTTAACACTGTACATTTTTGGTTTAAAAGGTTTTAAAATGTGTTAAATTTGTTCAATACTTTTGAGTAAATGATTGAGTCGAAGGCAGAAGTCACGAGGTTTGTCTAAAACAAATTACATTTATGAACTTTGGTTCATGAGGTATCATAAATGTTTACACGAATCAATGTATAATTAAAGAATAAATCCCTGCTAAAATAGTTATATAGGAATTATTTACATAAAATGCGATAAGTGATACAACAGTCCTCTAACTGTATCAATGCTACAATGGCGGCTAACAATAGAAACGAGAACAAAGGAAACAATTATGGGAAACCTATACGGATAAACTAATGTATCTAAAAAAAGAAATTGATGGTTTAAAGTGTTATGAGAGTATAATTAGAATGATGAATGCACTGTATCTGATTCATGCAAGTAATTGGGAACTACCATGCAAAACTAAGATATGAAGCACCACGTGTTCGAAAATGATTGATAGTGACATTAGTTACTGAATATTAGTTGGTAACAATGTGATATACAAATATGATAGAATGAGATATATATGAAGATAATACGCTTGAGTGAAATTAACGCTGTGAGCTTTGATTTTATAGTGACAACGGATTTAAAAAGGTTCACAATGTTATTTATATATATCTAGTGATGCTCTATCCATAAATTAAAGATAAGATCGCTTCTACCGCATTTGAGATGCGGGTGGTTTGTGAATGCGATATCAATGTGATTATTTGTAACAGCATAGACTCTGATCCTCGACAGAGGCAGTCTTAAAAATTACGCCTCCTTGCCTGATGTCAGTTTTAATCCTAGTTTTTGCTCAAAAGTACAACATTTCATTTTGTAACGCGTAAACTGTTGCGAATAAATATTAAAGAAGCTGGAACTAGGTAGTCCTGGTTGGAATCTTACAGGGAGAATCAGTTCACTCAGTATTACAGGTACGTCTTTCTAGCATAAAATTTAGGTTAATGGTTTCCTGTTGAAGCCCTTGTGAATAATATTAAAGATGAATTATTCAGAAATATGTGTACTTTCTTTGTTAAGTCAATGAGTCGACCTAAGCTAGACCACCAATGAGATCCTAGAAGCAATGGATGGCCGTTTCATCTGAACATGCGACTGCTCAGCAGTGCAATGGAACTCAAATCCAGGACCCTCGGTCTTGCGTGAGAACGCTTAACCTGTAGACCACTAAGCCGACATCCATCAGCATTAATATTTAACTTTGATCCATCCATGATCTTGGGCAACCCTTCATCCATTGTCTGAGATGGATAACTGTCTCCTTTTGACACGGATCGGACTCTACTGGTCTCGGCCTCTCATACTAGGACGAAATGCCCGTCTAGTGCCTCTAGGTTTACAACGGTGTTCTAGCTTATATTGACTCATGAATTCAACTGTTAAAATTGCTACATCCTCCACAAATCCCCATTCTGATAATATTCTCTTTTCGCTAACTCAATGCCTGATAATGTAACCCAAGATGAAAGTCTCATACTTAATGACTCAACGGCTGTATACACTTGAGATTCAATTACGGTAATCTATCCTCATTACCTACCGTTCGTACTGTTAGGTTTGGAAGAATTTTCAGGCGTGTATATATCAGATATTTTCATGATATACATTGTTACTTGGATCATCAGGTGTTAGGATTTAAGTAATTGCTTGATAGATAGTTGATAAACTTCTTTGAATCCTATTTATTCGTGGGTTGAATGAAGACAATATCAGTGTGCAATATCGAGGTGATATTAGTAATTGTCAAGTTAGATAGGGTCTTCCATTTGATGGAACGAATACCTTTACTGAAGAAGTAATTGTCTGGTAAATATCACAAAACGGAATGCATAAGTGACTTTCTTCTAAGATGTTATATACTGGAAAGATGTTGATAAATTCTAGCCAGATTATTGCACCTTATCAGCTATCCGGGTTCCAACGAGGAATGATTGTAGTATTGAGCTGTCATTTTAATTATGAAATCTTTACATCATTTATCTAATGTCATATCTAACAATCCCCTAAAACTAAATAGACATTCTCTATTTTAGGTTAATTTTTGAATCAAATTAATTATTTATTCAAATTGTGAATTAGTGCCAGCTGAACTTCTCACTGTCTATACAACAAAAGAGATGAATTTCCTAACTCATATTATTATTATTATTATTATTATTATTATTATTATTATTATTTGTCAAATGGTAATGTATTCTCATTGTTGGCTGTGCAAAAGTTAACCCTCTCTATACATATCGAAAGAAATATATTTTATGTTCAATTTACAGTTCTCATTTGTATTTTACTTATCCCCACAAACATTCTATCATATAGAATGTTGTATTTTTATCTTAAATACTTTTCATTAACATTCCGTTATTACTATTAAAGAATAATGCAAACTGTGTAATGGTAAGTAGTGAACAACAATTCTTCTAATAAATTAGTTCATTCTATGTATGTATTTTGTTAGTAAAATATATATACACTTTTCTTTATCAGTGAGTAGGAAGGTAGTAGTATTATTGTATTATAAGAAAAAAACATAGTGATTCCGTTGAGATTAAAACCGTAAACATATCAGCATAGAAACAAAAGAAAAAATCGATAATTTGAACTTTTTTTTTTGTTTTTTCATCACTGGGAAGTAAACAGTAAAAAAAAAATTTTTCTGACATATTCATTGATTCATTTACATAATTTTGTATTTTCTCTCTGATATTGGTTTATTGGAATTTTTGTAAGAAAACTTTTTTATTTAGAACTTCTCATTATTGTGTACTTTGTATCATTTCCACTTTTTACTTCTTTTTTTTTGTTTTCGTTTTTTAAACTCTGGTTTGTTTACTCGTTTCATTCTTTTTTTCTTTCTATTGCTGTTCTGGTCTAAGGTTTTATAATAAATAAGCATTTTTCTGATGAAGAAAAAGAAGAAGAAACAAAAAAAATATCATCACTTCACCATTTATGTGCTTATTTCTTTCCCCTTTTTTTTGTAGTAGTGTCTTGGTATTTTTGTTTTCTTTTTTCCTCGTTTCTAAGGGTGTTTCTTTCCGTTATTTCTTTCAGTTACCTTCTCTACGTTTTTTTCTCCTATATATATATATATTTCATGTGAACTAATTGTTTAGTTAAATTCTATCATTGATTTCAGCATTTTTACTTGGAATAATAAAGTATATCTCATATGTTATTTTCATCAATTATAATTTTTCTAGAAGAACTTTTGTTGTTTTTTGCCTTTATTAAAGTAAAAGAAAATCAAGGGTTACGTCAAATATCGCCTTTTTTTAAAAAAAATGTAGCAAGTTAATATAATACACCGTGAACAGTGGGGTTCAGATATGTCACATATGAGTCAGTTACTCACCAATGTTATCTGAAGATGATTGTGGAATTTTGTGAACCGATTAAGTTCAGATGAGTAAGACATGGAGTACAGATTTTGTGGTCTGGAGGTTAAAACCCTGGGGTCGATTCCCAGTGAGGTCATTAGTACGTATTAGTAAGGTGTCCTGTATTAGGGTAAAATAGTTATACGGCACTTCCTAAGTTTCCACTGCCTATCTAATTAAGATCAGTCAATGATGTTAACTATGAAATTTAACAGTATGCTCATGTCATTTACATACTTATGCCGTAGATATTAGTTTCTTGAAGGAAATGCCTTGTCAGTGACTAACTTGGTTTCACTGCCTACTGCTGATAACATTGTTGCGAATTATCGTTCCATTTCACTTTGAAACATGAGACTAACTTCAACATTGCGATGTAATCAGTGAGCTACTAAGGAAATGAAGATTCATCAAAGAAAAGTTTCGTTTCAACAATGTCATTTACTAATGCTGTACTAATGCGGTACTTATAGTTAATTAGCATACATAAATCTCTAATAAAATAGGTCAATATTTCATTTAAATTATGAAACGGCCAATGTTAGACCACCGGTGGAAACCTGGAAGCACTGGACGGCTGTTTCGTGCTGGTATGGGACTTCTTAGCGCTGCGCATCTACGACCCCGCATGTGACACTCGAACCCAGGACCTTTGATCTCGGTCCTGTTTCATTTAAAAGGTAATCCAAAGTGCTATCAAGCAATAGGGAATTACATGATACACCAAAGTGAATAAAATTATAAATGAAAGATAATTATCAACTTAGTGAATATTAAGAAAATGTGAATATGGAGTAGCATTGCATCATAAGTTATTTGGAAATATCAAATATAGGGACGGACTTGTGTAATGATCTAAAAGTTAATACAAAAATTGTAAATGAAGACATTTTATAAAGATAACTGTTCATTTAATGAGTATGAATAATAAAGTAAATAAATGTAATAACAGCTAATTAATGATTATAAGGAAATAACAGAGTATGGAAGATAAGCAGGGGGTTAAGCCGATGATAAAATCCAGGACTGAACATGTTTTTTTGTACACGGAGACTAGTCTGGAACCGTTGGATTGGTAAGACCTCTATGATAGGTAAGTTCCTAACTCATATTCCCCTTACATAATTTTGTTTGACCTTATGGATGACTTTGAAGGAGGGTTCTGGGGGTGGGGCAATATGACTATTGTTTACGAGATGTTCAATAACCGAATTACCAAATAAATTTAATAATCATTTTGATCAACAAACAGAATAATGCTTCGGAATGAGTTTCGAGAGAGTTCACTTTATGAGATCAATATAACCTGATCCAAAAGAGCAAGTAAACTTATAAATATATATGCATTTCAAAGCAGAAGTTTATCCTTCACACATCCAATGAATCAAAGGGTAACTGGAGAAGATAATAAGAACTTCAGAAGGATACAGTATTTTTCTCAAAGTTCTAAAAGTTCGTTTTTCAGAATCTTTTCTATTACATTACCATATGGGTGAAATGTAACTTCAGTGTTGCCGTTTGGTAAATTCACGTTTAATATTTAGCTCAGATTTAGTTAAATGTTCTCTGAGAACAAAACTCCACCAAAATCATCCACCTGAGCTACAAATCTTCTCCACCATCTCATACGAAATAATAATCGTTCCATTAATGGACGTTATGATGTCAAAGTATTGGAAGTTCATGATATTTGTGTAATTTCTACACAGTTTATTAACTTGGAAAGAGGTTACTGGATATAAGGTGTTATTTAAAGTTTCAAGTATTGTGATTCTTTATGTTGTCTTCTTCAAATGGTTTTTCAGTTTTAACATAAGTGAAGTACACTACAAGAAATAACAATTGGTTTTACAGTTACTTTTATTACTAAATGAGCCAAAAGGTGAGAAAATTGCTATAGTATTAATGAACTGAATATTTCTAGAGATGAAGAAAACATTTGAGCAAATGAGTTCTTTGTGTTGACCCCAACACTAAGTATAAGCATTCATTAGTATACTTACATCGATAAAATGGTTGTTAAAGACAAGCTTTTACGTAATACACATACAATTCTAATTTTAAATGATTGAGGGAAAAGTTGATAAAGCGTGAAATTGTTTCTATGTGGTCTTAGGAGCATAACGATATCCAAAGTTATATTGTCTATGATGATAGGTGATGTTTACTGATATCCGAATCTTCAAAAAAGGGGAGGTGTTATGTCCCGATAAGCATAATGAATGGTAATTTGCGGATCCATTTATGGACCAATACTATGTGTATATTTTTATTGTATAGTTGTTAAATAACTAAACTATTTATATACATGTCCCTCTTATTATGAGCTTTATCTTGACCTATGAACTATTATTATGCGATTTACCATTCTTGAGTTACGCCCTGTATATTAATAACTACCTGCCACATTCACAACCACATTTGGCTAAATCTTGTACAAATGTTATTTCCTATTTTATGGTACGTTGTGGTCTGTCTGGTTGGTATATAAATCTAATATGTTTGAAATAAGTGATTCATATCGCAGAGGCTAAGATTGGTGTTCTGGACTTAACAGACTGGGTTAGACAAGAAGCAGGACCGATAAGTACTCTAGACTGCTCGTACGTGTTTTATGCGTCATTAGTCCAATCGATGTTTCATTGCTCTCTAATTGACGGTATCATTACGTTATACATTAACAGGGTACACAGGCCACAAGTTATAACAATCAGTAGTGTGAAAGTAAGTTGAAACAAATTCAGGAGTGTCTGAACCAAGAAATGTCATCATTTCATTGAGCCATTACTTGCTGTCAATAAAAACAATATATTTGTAATATTCCAATGAGTAGAGAAATCGAATTCCTAAATTCCCCGATTTTTCGTGATTTGATGTAAGCCACTTCTTCAGAGATTAAATAAACATTAAATTAACCTGAGTTGTGATAGTACAAATGAACAAGGTAAGAATATTTAGTGCGACCAATCAAAAAATTGGTTTGACTAGGTTAACATCATGTCATTCCGAAATGACATGACATAACAATCTACCCAATGCTCAATTTATTCAAATTATTAAGTCAGACCTTGGTAATGATACCTTAATTCCCTGTTGATCCGACACATTGATAGATACAGGCTATCTGGTTAGAGTCCTCACGATAACAGCGATCTATAGTTCAAGCATTCATGTGACATGACTCGAAATCATTCAAAATGATGAATGTGCGTTTACTTTTTATTTTCCCTTAGATTCTATCTTTCCTAGTTGCTTTAAAAAATTTATAAGATGACTCCATATTTACCTCTTGAATTATATATTTTGTGCGTACTTTTTTATACTACCACCCATAGTGTTACCACTTAAACCATTCTGATATTTTACCGTGGTGGTATAGAATGGCATCTTGAATTAATGTCAGCTTATACGACAACTAGCTGACTTTCAATGTATCCTCTAACAGGTTTCATCATTAGAATGACACAGATCTAACAATTTCTGTTTGGCTATGATAGTTTCTTTTCTTCTAAATCATAACATCATATGTAAACAAACAAAAAACAAACTATATTTACGATCAATCAAATAGTGGTTACTGGATTCTTTTGGATTAGAACAAAATTGCATTAGTATCTGATTCATTTAAGCTGGTTGGATTGTGAACTTGGTTCATTTGTGTATGGAATTTTTCTTTTCTTTTTCTTCTGAAATTGAATGGAAATTAAGAATAAAAATGAATGAAAAGTTGACACACTAAACAAATGTCAAAATGTATTAATTTTCATAATCACTTAATGAATAGAACTATAGAAAAGCTGATTTTGAATATGAAATAAATGAGGAAAACTTATTTCATCAAAGATGAATTTTCATCGTGAATGTACACTGCTGAGGAGTCCCACATCAGGTCGAAATGGCCGTCCAGGGCTTCCGGGTTTTTCGTAGTGATCTAACTTCAATTGACTCACGAACTAAACTATTAAAATGCTATAATATCCACTAAACCCATTTTCTGATTATCTTCATATTGTCGATTTTATCTGACAATCTACTTCAATACTGAAATCTTAGATTCAATTATAAATACATGCATACCTTATTTTGAAAATGAATCTCTATAAGACAACTATGAACATTAGAAGTTGAAGCTATTTTTACTATGTTTAGGATTTAATTAACATATATTGTAGAGAATAATATTTAATTGATCTTTTTATTGGACCATATCAAACCTTTGTTCAAAGAAGATCACGATAACGGAGATCAGTCGTATTCAATAATAAGTAATCAAGCTTAGCTGTAGAATAAACTACTATGAAACTGGACTGGTTCAAGATTCCTTTGAGAATCCACACAGAAAGATTATATTAAGCTTTTCAAAGAGATTTAACAATATTTATACTTTTAAATGGAGCCCATTTTGGGAGAGATATTATCACTAATTAACATGTTGTACTTCGACTTAGGATGGAGCTTAGTGTCGATACTGAAAGATACCTTCAAGGTTCAGTTAAATTTTTGAAGACACATTTCATAGGTTTAATGTCTGTCTATGTAATATACCCAAACAATGTGATGAAAAACAAACAGAAGATAGTCAATATCATACAGAACTCATATGATGGATTACACTGCAAAATTGTGCATGAAGGACAGTTGACAAAGTCGTTCGAAGTGAAGACCGGTGATAGGTAAGGTTGCTTACTCTCACCCTTTCTCTTTCTCCTGGTGATCGACTGGATCATGAAGACGTCAACGTCTGAAGGGAAGCGCGGGATACAATGGACATCTAAGATGCAGTTGGATGATCTAGACTTCGCAGATGATCTGGCCCTTCTATCCCAAACGCAACAACAGATGCAGGAGAA